ACCAGGACAAAGCTGCTCCGTTAGAACTTACCACCTGTAAGAGGTCACAGGCTACCACCCATTCTTAGTAAGTTCAACGGCGAAACAAACCCACCCGCGACTAACGCTGGCTAGTGGCCACGTACTGGGGCAGCTCAGCCACCGGCTCCTCTGTCAGGACGCGGCGCTCCAAAACTCGCGAACGCCACGACCCGCGGGAGGACGGGGCGGGGGGGAACAAACCCCGCTCCGTTACCCACGGAGCGCCCACGGCCGGGGGGGCCGAGCCGAGGAAAAGCCAACCCCGCCCGCGGGCGCAGCGCTCCGGCTCCGCGGAAGCTGCCCGCGGCGCGGAAAGCTTTTCCCACGCCGTGGGCTGCTCCTTCGCGGCAAGATTATATCCTCGCATAGACAGAGATACTCTAAAAGTTTTTTGGAGTTTTTTTTTTAAAAAAAAGTTGCTCGCAGTCAGGAGGCGAGGCTGCTGCCGTTCCCCCCCCCGCCCCCCGGGCTCACCTGGATGAGCCGCTGCAGGCCGGGCCCCTGCAGGCAGGTGTGGTTGCCCAGCAGCTCCCAGTGCTGCTGGAGGAGCTGCTGGGCCGCCCGCACCTCGGCCGGCCGCTCCAGCGCCTGCAGCACGCCGGCGCCCAGCCCCACATAGCCCAGGTAGGCCGCCAGCAGCCCCGGCACCCCCCAGCGCCGCCGCCGCCGCCGCCCCTGCTGCTGCTGCTGCTGCTGCCGCCGCGCCGCCACCATCGGCCCCGCCGCCGGGAGAACCGGCGGGAGCGGGGCCGGGCCGGGCCGGGCCGCCCCCAGCGCCTCCCCCTTCCCGCAGCCGGGCAGCTGCTCCTGCCGGTTCTGCCCCTTATCCCGCCCGCCCCCGCTCTCCTCCCCCCGTGCCGCTCCGCTTCCCACCCGCCTCCTCCGAAGCGCAAAAAACGCCCCGGGGGGGGGGGGGGTGGGGGTGGGGGGGGTGTCCCGTCCCCTTCGCCCCTGGGTGAGGGGGGGGGGGATGCGACCCAGCCCCTTTCCCAGCAAACCGAGTGGCGCACCTGACTCGCCGGCACCGGGCACCGGCCGCTATCCCGGCAGCTTGCATAAATCCCGGTCCCTCCTTCACTCAGCTGCTCAGCTAATTGAAAAGGCAGTAATCAGGTGTTTCTGATAACAACTGAGCGATACAAACAATTGTAAAGGTTGCAAGTTTGTGAGGATCTTTTTTATTGTTTGTGGGTTTTTTTTTTATGAAAGACGTGAGCACTTTCTTCATGTGGGTAGTTCCCAAGACCTGTTTGGTTAGTTATTTTCTTGTACAGGACTACATCAGATGTTCCCCTCTGTTCTCTCACCAGGAGAAAAAACAACCAAACCACTTGGAGTGTATAAAAAGTTTGTAGTTTACCTATTTTGTTACAGAGTATGAGAGAAAGGGAAATAAAACCAGTAAATTTCTAAGCAGGATGCCTTTATACACTGTCAGATGATAATGTTTTCTCATGATGCCCTGTGCTTTGTTTTGTTTTGTTTTGTTTTTTCTGTTTGGTTTTTTTTTTTTTTTTTTTTTTTTTTTTGCTAGTGGAGTGTCTCTATTACAAGTAAGGCAGCCTTCAAACAGCTGTTGCACCACTGGGACAGTTCTGGTAATGTGCTAATTTATGCTTCTCTGGGTGGTGCTTTAAACTGACTAGCATAAACTCATGGGATTACTGGCAAGATGCAAAACTTAATATGCAAAGGATAGATCAATTCCCCTTTAAAGACATCATCCAGAACACAGTCTTAAAAAAAAAAAAAAAAGAAAACCTATGCTGCTTATTGCTCAGTCTTAGCTCTGTGTTTTCAATGTATTAATTACCGAATGATGTTTAGAATGGAAAAGAAAAAAGGCTTCTATAAAAATATATATGAGAAAGAAAATATTAAAATATACCGAAAAGTATATATATTCAAGTTTCCTCTTTCATTTAAGATCAGGAAATAGACACGTCTGAGCTACATTTTAACTGCATTAAAATCAGATAGTTTATACAAAGCACACTAACTATGTTGAAACATTACAAACTAAACATATATAATTTAATGTTTATACTAAATATATATTATGTAAAACAAATTACAGGTGAGACTCAGGGTTTGTAACTACAGGCAAGACTGTGAAAACCCAGGACATCAAGCGTGTGCTTGCTAGAAGGAATCTGGGGAGGAAGAGATCAAGATTCACACCAAATCTTCACAGAATTATTTAATATTTTAATGGATGATTTTCTTGAGTATTCTCAGAAATGTCACTTGTGTGTCAGCCTTCTATTTACATCTCCTGAGAGAATGGCTCAAATATTTTCAGCTGCTATTTTGGTGTTGTCTGGAAGGTACCGATGTACCTGAGGATGAGGAAGAGCTTGCTGGGCAGGCTTCAAGGGTAAGTGGAAGCCTGGAAGGACGTTTGCTTCTTGTCCTGCACTGGACTGCAAGCGGTAGCTGTTCAGGACAACGTGCTACTTTTCCACGCCACAGATGACCACTGCCTGGGGCCACCGCTGCTGCCACAGGCTGCAGAGCTGCAGTCAGAGGCTTCAGAAGTGCTGTTTTCCATGCAACTGAGCTGAGCATCTTGTAGCAGGTTGTGTGATCTCCCTTCTGTGCAGGATCGCATCACTGCTAAAATGGGTTATTAAAAGAGCAGAAGAGTCCCTTTTGTGCACTCTGACTCCTAGTAAGCCTTTGTGATTGCAGAGTTCTTCCACGTAATTTTTCATAGCAGGTCAGTTGATATTTGTTGATTACCTTTTTATTAGAGGAAGGGCAGTAGAGAGCACTTGGTCCATCCGTGTTCAGGCACTGGGCCAGTGCTGCCAGTATGTATCTCAAAGTAACACTGATTACAGATGTGCATGAACTTTAGGATCTTTTCAGGATCTTGAAAAACTGACAAAATGAGCAAGAAATTTCTATCACTTGTGTAACACAGGAGAGGTCATCAGTATCTTTCTGTTTTCTGTTCCAACATGGCCATACGCTTGATTTAAGGTATATTTTTGATTCTTCTAGCAGGCAGGTTGGGAACTGTTGCAGCTACTCTCAGCCTTACTAAAAGCTGCAGTAGCAAAAAATTCAGACGATAGTCTCACCATGCTGCTACTTTGCAAAATCAGTATCAGGTACAGGAGCAATTTTCTGGACTGCAGTAAAAGCAATCCAAACTCCCTGCTGTCGGATGTCAAGTAAGAATGATTTTAACAAACACTTTGCCAGTAAGTGCTGCATGCATGCTTTCTATCCCTGATAAACCTCATTATCATTTTTTATGACATGCAGCATGGTGTAAAATGCTGTATAGGATCACCTTTAGACTTGTGCACGTTCTGTGGCTGGCTGTGGCTAGATAAAGTAGGAAAGGCAAGGAAAAAGTCAAGGTGAAGGGAACAAGTCAGATGTAAAAGCCAGTAGAACTTTAGTTTTGACTTTCACACAAACAGGCCTAAAGTGTCTTGTAGTATCGACACAAGGCAAGATGCAGAGTACAGTGATGGCTACGATGTTAAAAAGTGCATAGGCAAACATTATGTCTGAAGAATAGAGAATACTGAGAGAGAAATTTTCCCATGAGATTTGCAAAGATACAAAAATCCAGACAGGAGAGAGTTGGCTGCTCTCAATGAAAGAGGTTACAAAGAAAGCTGTTGCAGAAATTTATGGGAATAGCTGAGGGCATAGGAGAAGATCAGTGAAGAAAACGAGGAGATAAAATCTGTGAGGTAGGTAGTGGTAAGACATGAGGGAAATCTTAGATGGGATAAATACTCGAAAAATCAGTTTTGAAATAAGTTGAATAAACCATAGCTGTCATTCTTATATGCCAGCATTTCAAATTTGAGCAGCCACACTGCACTACACAGGAGTCAGCAACTAGCAAAGAAAACAAGCATCAAGTCAGATGTAAGCGCAAGCGTCTGTTGTGGTCCTCCTCAGAAGTAAAAATCTAGCACAAAAGGTATGTGGGAAGAGATTTGTGACCTACACACATCTCTGCATGTTTTATGGACATTTCCCCAAAACGAAATATCAAAGCAGCTGCTGAAAGGCTGACATTTGATGTTACTGTAGGCTGTCAGCCATAGGCTAGCTTGGGGCTAGTCTACACGCCCAGTTGTATTTCACTCATGCTTTACATTAAAGTTCCAGTTATACATGAGTTTAAAAGGATTAATTGATGTTTAATATGAGTTATAAACATACTGAATAAATATCAGTATGTACATAATTACAAGCATACCCATGGAATGTGTTAGTGATGGTTATAAACAATCTAGTATGGTACTCAATGAGTGGATAACTGTTTTATCGTTTCTATAGTTTACTTTAATACAGAGTATGACTACAGTTTTATATCTCAGCAACTAGCCTGTTATGACGTATTTATATGTCATTCTTTGGCTTTTCTGCTTCTTTGGAGATGGCTGCTGCTACTTTTGACTTACAATAACTGTGAAAAAATCAAACTCCCTCTTTCTCACAGGTGACACTATGTGTACGAACGACTGAGGATCAGATTTAACACACAAGCCTATCATCAACCTTGTTTAGAGGTAAATGGACAGCATCAGCTCGGTATGATGCATGACAGTTCTTCAATGAACTAGCCCAAAGCAAATGCCAGACTCTATTGTCATCTGACTGGAAATAAGGAAGTCTGCTTGCATTTAGATTTAAAGTGCTGTTTTTAAGTGGCTGTGAAATGAAGCGCGATAAGAACCTGCTTTGAGCTGTCAGTTCACACTAAAATAAATTTTAACAGTCCAGGCAGTGCTGGATAGACACAAAATTTCTGCACAGTTTAAGAGAGAAGCGTTTTAGCCCAGGAACTAAAGAAATGTGATCATTTTATATGAAAGCAGCTAATTTCAGACAATATCAAATGAATCTTAATTGGATGGAAGTCATTAAGTAGGTCGTTATTACTGCCGATATTCCTCTGTCTTTTTGTTTATTTTCTGATTGGAAATGAAGAAAGATTTCTGTACCTGACTTTTTCCACTTGAGTTTCTTGGTGACATGACTTCTTGCTGGAGCTGGGAGGCAGTCACTCTGGATTTTTTGAAAATGAGTGACCGTAACAACTGAATTCCACTAGAGAAAGAGAAAGGATAGCAATTGATTACTTCAGGGGAAGTTGCCTTTGTTGAGTGAGAAGTGTAAGATGAATCCTGGGACAGTTGTTTTACTATGTGTGCTACTTCTTTGGAGATTTTAATTGGCTGATGCCTATACAATGTGTGGAAATTTCAGTGCATCTGAAACATTTCCTCCTTAGGAAACAGTTCACAACATATGATTTAGTCTTTTATCCACAGGGCTTGCTTAGTGTGAGATATAGATGAAAGATGAGCTTTCAAGACTGCTTTCTGTGTACCTTGCTCAGCTAGGAATGTGGATTCTAGGCTGCTCAGGTTCATCTTCCAATTTGGTGGTGTCTCCTTCTTCCAAGCTTACGTCAGGCTTGTGCCACTTTAGCTGAAGGAATTTTTCCATCAAGTCGGCTCCCACATTGAAAACCAGAGCCAGCCAGGCCAAGCCGAAAACAATCCAAATCGCAGTTAGGCTCCTGTACACTGGGATATAGTGCTTGTTGGGGTTGGTGCCTGAAAAACCCAAGAAACTTTGCATCTTAATCTTGACAGCTTCAGTGTACCAGACAACATACACATGCATACGCCCTCTCCACCCCCTGGAAAAGAGTATGTTTAACAAGTTTGTGTGATCTATAAGCTTTCTGTTTTTTTTTTTTTTTTTTTTTTTTTTTTTTTTTTGTTTTTGTTTTTGTTTTGTTTTTGTTTTTTGTTGTTATTGTTTTTTTCTTTTTTTGTTCCAACTCTCAGGTTAAGATGAGCACAGTTGGTGTCAAATCTCTGAAGCCAAGGCTATATAATGTTAATCGGGGATGCACAAAATCGAGTAATCCTATCCACCGACAAAGAAAAAAGTCATCTTGGAAATCCAATGTATTAGCCATATTTTACTCAAAAGACACACAGGATCTCAGGTGATTTAGAAAGATATGATTCACTACCTCAGTGATACAGTGATTGCTTTTTGTAGGATGATATACCTCAGTAACCACGATTCAAAATCACCTAAAGAATATTTTATGTACAATGCAGCCATTTTAAGTAAGTGGTTATGGGAATCTTAATCCCCAGCTTGATATTTCCACAGCATGGACAATTGGCACAGGTGATACAGACACCAGACAGCACCGCAGCCGTGCATTTAGTCTCTGTCATCCAGATCATCACGGAACTCCACAGTGCCCAGATTTGGCACGGGATGGGGTTTCATCTCCTTTTGCGACATAGTTACAACCTCTAGGAGAGGAGGGCTACTACTCATGAAGTAACAGACCCTGGTGTTTTTTAGCAAATAAATACACTATACATAATCTGTTAAGAGCATTTGTTCAAATATGTGGGTGGAAAAACAGCCCCTCACATGTCTCTACTGCGGTGTCTCAGCCTAGATCTCTAAAGACTCTGTAATCTCACTGGGTTTGTCTTCTTTCGCAGGCGTCCCAGCGTTGTCAGTAATATTCTCCCTGTTGTAAGTATGGATCTTTTCATATTTGACATGAATCCTTATTGGGAATGGGAAGCACTTGCTGAAACAAATCATTGCTAAGACAGGGGAGTTCAAAGGCTTAATATTCACAAAGAAATTTCATTTATATTCTACCTGTCACTAATGGATCACATTCGTACCAGCTTGGACAGAGTCACTGCTGAATGGGTGTTCAGTGACATATGTGAAATGAATTTGGTGACTCTCAGTTTAGCTGCCAAGAGAAAAAGGCCCATGTCATATAATCCATTAGCTCATTATTACCATTCTGGCTCAGATTGCTCTTGTACCAGATTTATAGTGTAATGGATATCTATGTTATCTATATTGAGCTTTGTACTAGAGTAACTAATTTCAACAAAACTCAATCCAGTTCACTTCTTTATTACCTACAACATAGTCCCCAAATCCAATGGTGCTCAGGGTGATGAAGGTGAAGTAAAAGCCTTCTCCGTAGCTCCAGCCTTCTACATAACTGAAGACCAATGGTGGGAACACTAGGAAAAGCAAGGTTCCAGTGGTCAGGAAGATGGCCACTGCCAGTGTTTGAACCACCTGGAAGATAAAAGGAAGATGGCAGCTAAGCAGCACTGAGCAGAAGTCTAGTGGAAATTGCTGTGTCTGTTTAGCTCTTGAATCATAAACCCACTCCAGCTGGGAGCAATGTCCGAAAAAGGAAGGATAAACCAATGCTTCCAAACACTGCAGACTGACCTCGCTGTTTACCCTGCACGTAGATGCTGTACCTAATCATGAATCAAAACAAAATCTCAAAATTAGGAAAAAAAGAAGCATTTTTTAAAGCTTTTTGCAATGAGTTTTTAAGTATGCTCAAGTCATATTTTCAAACTTATTATGGCATCCATAGGAATTAAATACTTAACAATTTAAATTCAAGTGGAGATGCTCTCATAATCATTTGGCTCCTGTTGTTGAGGAAAATCACCAAGTATTGATACAAAGACTGGCAGGAACAAATTAGGGTTCTCTTCAGCATGACTGCTTCCAAAGATTTATAAAGTGGCTTGCAAGAGCTCAGCCAAAAATATGTTTGGATGAAATCTAAGTGAAGTCAGTCTGCCTGCTTTTATTTTCAACTTAGAAGCATTCACAGCAGAGTAGTTTTCTGTCAGCACAGGGCGGATCTGTGTCTCAGTACAAATGTCTGCCTTCTGGGAGATAAGTTACAGCATATGTGGCTGCAATAGATAGGGACACAGAATGGTCAGTGGATGGGTCATGACAAGGGGTTTTAGGTGTTTAGGGTTAAGGTTCAGGAACTCATGGTTTTCCAGGGAACACACTCTGGTGAACTTTTGACTAGTGATGTGTGGGCTGATGCAAACTCATTGCAATTGTTTGAAAATGCCCTCAAGGGCATTCAAACCAGAGTATGATTTTCTATGCATGTGTCTAATGTGACTAGATGAAAAGCCAAACCACTGTTTATAAAGTAGAAGGTTCAGGTGTCATGTTTTTCTTTCTCTCTCTGTATTATCTCACATATGAAATAGTTCACTGAGCTTGAGAAATGGTGTGAGCCTACTGGGTGACTTTGACAAATCGATTCTATATTATGTACCTCTCTGGCTGTATAATAATACTTACCGCATTTGCAAAGCACTTTGAGAATTACTGATCGACATGGTTATAGTTGATATCTGTTCTCATTTAGTTCATTCCAGAAGTGTGATAACATTTAATTAGACAATAAAGTTTGCATAAAATTTTATACTGAAATGCACAATATTACTTTTTGCCCTGTTTTTTAAGAACATTTTGGTGCAAACTTATAACATAGGGGACGGTAAGTCAGGAAAGAAGAAGAACAGATCGTAATTAATTTCCCAAAGCACGACAAAATTATGTTTAAAAGGAGATGAACCAACTTCCTGGAAGAGGCTTTTCAGAGTGAACAAGCAGATACAGCTCCAAAGCTTTGTCTGATCATAGGAGTTCTGCCAGAAACGAGGTGTTAATTCAGGAGTGAAAATAATAATAATGAAAAAATCACATCCCTAAGGTGCTATTGGAAGTCTCAGGAAAGATGCAGCTATACTAGCATGAAAACCCTTCTGGTGGTAGAGCTGCATGTATTTGGGGAACAGACGCAGGTTGTGCAGCTGAAAGAACTTCTTGCTCATATAAACCAAGTCTGCATTTGACAGTAGCTTTATAGCTTTCCCAGTGTAGGTAGAGAATGCAGTGACTCCAAGATTTAATGAATGAAAAAGAGAAAAAAACTTGCGCCAGAACTCTGAAATGTTTCAACACATCTAACATATGTAATCTCCCTTTTCCCTAACTAAAGGAGTCAATTCATTGAACCTTTACTCAGAAACACGCACTAACTTTGTTATAAATGACCTTCATGTATATTCTATTATCAGTGCTTTGCTTTTTCCAATACATCTGGACTAGTTCAATGACTCACCAATAAACTATAACTAAGGAGGAGTATTTATTTACATTTCAAGAAAAGAAAAGGAAGGAAGTGCTAAATTGCTGGCACAATCAGGGAAGGTTTTTTAAGCCAGATTAGCAGGCCAATAAAAATAAGTTGTCTTTGCACAGCGTAGAGCTAGATTCTGGATAGATGCTAGCATAGGCTAGATAATAAGAGCTTGATTTAGCAATGTGTGTATGTGCATGTATTCTGCTAAGGTCACCAGAGTTTAAGGATCTTGCTCAAAACTGAGGCTATGCTTGCTTAACAGTTTTGCTGAGTCAGGTTTTTAAAAGGCAAATCTAGAGGTCCTCAAGCAAAAGCAAATTTCTTTAAAGCTATTATAGATAAACAGAATACATCACTTTTCTGAGATAGAGGACCACATAGTTGCTGTGGTTCAGAAAAACATAGGTACACCCAAGGAAACCCAGTCTAGCAGCAGCAGTACCTATCTAAGAAGAGAACCTTAATTAGTTTTAAAATAGTAGAAATAAATAATAGATTGACACTCTACCTGAGCACGGCCTGGCTTTTGCACCCATCTTTCCAGGGTAATCAGATGAGCATTGAGGCCTTTCCCCAACTGATTAAGGAAGGTCAGGTTGAGGGGCACTCCGAATAAGGCATAAATTACACAGAAGATTTGCCCTGCCACTGTGCTTGGGGACAGGTTACCATAACCTGGAAAAGAAGAAGAAACCAGTTACATGAAAAGGCTTTACAGTCAGGCTGCAGGCCACCATGTGAAGTTCCTAGGCTTGGAAGTTCAACTACGTTAAGCTTCAGGAACCTGTGGACATATGATTTTCATTCACTACTACCAACGGAGAACTTAACATGAAAAATATTAAAGAGTATTGTAATTTTCTATAGGTCTATGATTTTGTGGTGAGTTCAACTGAGTGCTTTAAAGCAACCTCAAGATGTACTGTGCATGTACAAAATGATATTAAATGTACCGAGTAGGCACTTGGCTTTTTTTGTAGGTGTAATATGCTGGATACACAAGAATAACAGGTATAATTGGAAACCAGTA